CTTTTTGACAAAAACAACATTGAAAAGGTCTTTCCTCTGAATGTGTGAGTTGGTGGATTTTTAAGTGAGTTGACTGTCGAAAAGATTTACTGCACAGGACACATTTAAAAGGCCTCTGACCAGTATGAATAAGTGCGTGCCTATCAAGTTTTGACTGTGATGGGAACAGCTTGCCACAGATTGTACACGTGTGAATGTTCTTTTTTTTCTTTGTAGGGCTGTATGTAGGATCAGACTTGGAGCACGGGTGTAATGCCCATCTCTCCTCTGTGGTAAGAGCATGATACATTCCATACACTGGCTTTTCTTGCTTGGCCTCCAGCAGTCTTCTGACCTGTTTAACGTCATTCTGGTAAGTTTCATTGTGAAGCTGTTGGTGCTTCACGAATGTCTTCAGATTCTTAAAGTGGCGTGGACAAATACTACATTTAAAAGGCAGATTATGAGTTAGTTGATGTCTTTCCAGATGAACTAGTTGTCTAAAGGTTTTATGACACACATCACATTCAAATGGCTTTTGACCAGTATGAATGAGATAATGCCTCGCTAATTTTGAGGGTGTTTCAAAATGCTTGAAGCAAATATTGCAAATATATGGCCTGTTTCTAGGTAGTTTGTTGGCTACTACACACTGTTGAATCTTTAGCATTTTAAAATTGGTTTCAGCCATCATATTCTTCAGTGATATACTCTGATGAGCTCCATAGTGTTCTTACACTCCACAGATGTCTAAAAATTAAAAATAAAAATGTATTAATTAAAAATTACTTATTCATATGAAAAGAAATAATTTAACCTGTTCTTTGGCTAAAGGTATTAAAGGCAATAGGGAACCTCAACTCTTCCTGTGTCTAAAAGTAAGTTAGGGCTTCCCTGGTGGCGCAGTGGTTGAGAGTCCGCCTGCCGATGCAGGGGACACGGGTTCGTGCCCCGGTCCGGGAGAATCCCACATGCCACAGAGCGGCTGGGCCCGAGAGCCATGGCCGCTGAGCCTGCGTGTCCGGAGCCCGTGCTCCGCAACGGGAGAGGCCACAACAGTGAGAGGCCCGCTTAGATCCTTTAGAATCATTAAACTAATTTCACTCATACAGAGAAATGAGAAGTCTTTAAAAGAAATACTTAAAAATGTATATAATTTTAAGCTATATTTCTAATTAATTGAGATGATACATTAAAAGGGGACTGAGTTGAATTTCTTAACATTAAATAAATCTTTTAATTCCAATTTTCCTAGTCCACTATTAAGTAGATTTGTCATTTTTCAAACATTGGGCTAGAAAGATAAAGAGTGTAAGAAATAAAATATAATACTAAAATTAAGACATATCTGCATTCAATTATAGCATACCTTGGACATGATCTGAGAATGGAATGTTTTAGTTATCAAAATTCTTAGCCACATCATTAGCAATATTTACTCTCAGTTACTTCTTTGGACCAACAAAGATAACATAAACAACTGGGAGAAAATGTCCCAGAAAACCTGGATTCTAGTCCCGGATTTGCCATCATATGAACTTGGTGGCAAGAAGGAAATATAGATTCCTCATCTCTAAATCAGGGAAAATGCCTCCTGGCCTGCCTACCACATTGAGTTGTTGTGAGAATCAATGGAGATAATGCACCTAAATGTGTTGGAAAACTGAAGCAATGTATAAATGTAAGGTATTATTTAGCTCAACACTAATCAAATTTAAAAACTTTATCCTTATCTACTTAATATCATTTTTAGGGTTTCTAACTAAGAGATAAACACACTAAACAAACATTTCTTTTTATTTCTCCTTTCCACTTTGTTGTAGAAGTCCTAAAAGACAAGTACAGAGGCAATGAGGTTGACACACTGGCTACTTATATACTTATCTATGGCTAAGTAATTGAAAGTCTGAGTGTAGTTTACTTTTCAGGCAGTAGAATAAAAAGGTCATTTTGGTCTCAGTTAATATAAAGATAAAGATATTTTCCCTAATATACCTCTGTAGGACACATGCAAAAGCTTACCAGGAACTTTCTCAACCATTTTATACCCTGTCTTCTCCTAACTGAAAAGTCAATTTTCTTCTCATCCTTCGTCTTCTACTGCATTTTCCTTAAATAAGGAAGCCAGAGATTAAAAAAAGCTGTGCCAGCTCTCTAATGTTGTATCTTCTAGTTGAGATCAGAGAGTTGATAAATCTACCAGAAACTCAGTGTTCTTTTGTCAGATGATTTAGTGAATATCCAACATATATGCTGTGTGCTATTATCTATTTTCTCCTAGAAGACACCTTAAACACAAAATCACAAACACACCCACTGTGGTTCTCTTCAGGAATCTGATTTAAAAACAGAAAAAAAAATTCATTTATTGAGCAAATTATCTTCTAGTTGTTTTATCATAGTGGTTTTCAAACTGCATGTCACTACCCATTAGTGGACTGTGCAATCACTTTAGTGGGTCATGATCAGCATTTTTGTTTAATAGAGTAGAAAATATCAGATTGCATAACATATGGTAAGGATAAATACTGTTTTGTGAAACGTCTATAGGAGGAGGTAAAAACCTGTGAAACCTGTTCCTGGCATACCTCTTTACACACTAGACAGAGGAACCTACAACAAATCAATCACTTTATTCAAAGTGGCAAGTAATCTATTAAGTAAGATTGGGGCCCATAGGATGAGACAGGATTACTAAGGATTATTAATTTTCTTCAACTGACCCATATAACCCCAAAATATTTATCAGAAAAATCTAATTAGAGGCCAAAGGTAATATGCCACACAAATAATCTGACTGCAAGCCACTATATTAATTTATAAAATATACCATATAACCCAGATATCCACGTTAGCAACAATTAGCTGTTGATGCTATTACTATGCACTTTCACAACACTGAGTTAGAGAAATTACAGGTGAATATACTCCAAATCCCTAAAATGCTAACACAGCAGCAGTTACGAGGATTAAAATTAAGTGAATTGCCAAGGACTTGGCAATTTATTTAATTCCCGTCAGGCAAAATCAGGTGTTGAGGTGTCAATTAGGACAATGAGCCAAACTGCAAGTAATAATCAAGTCTTTATTCACTTACTGCCACAGTGCAAGCAAGAGGCTAAAAAAGTACTGGTTCCCCAGTGGTCGATTAAATGGAACACTAGGTGAGGGTTAGGTGGATGCAATGCACACAATCATCTCTCTGCAAAGGAGGCTGGAACAAAAGGTTTCTGCCTCTTTATGGACTTGTGGGCCAGGGGACCAGGAAGGAAGAGCTGCAAGTGGAATGGTCCTGGGTCAAAATGGAGAAAAGTACCTCAGTCAAGGCTGCCCCCTCCACCTTCCCTCCCTTTGCAATAAGGAGGTATTGGTGGAGGCACCTGGGAAGTACCTTGGCCAAGGCCCTCAGAATGGAAGTACCTGAGCCAGGAATGCAATACAGTATGAGCATGGCTAGTGGGAGGGAAGGGGTGAGTCCTTGACTGCAACTCCCTCCAGAAAACTGCAGTGCACTGGCCATGCCCAAGTCTGGTGTGGCAAGAGCAGCTTCCCCCGAAGAGGCCAGCCAGGCAAAGCCACGCAATTGTCTATGGTCGGGCCTGAAAGATCACACATAGGATTCTGGCCTGTAGCCAGGGTCCTCAGCTCCTATTGTGTATTTCTTCTTTCCTTTAATAGTTTCTTTGGAACACTTGAAAAAAATCCCACACTAGAACCACACACATGACAACCATTTCTGATTATAACAGGAATTGACTACCTATAGTTACTGTGCCAAAAAGAGACTATGGCTTATCAACTAACACTAGCACTAGGACCGGATACTATTGTCAGTTGCGTCCACACCATGTGGGAAAGCACTTACTGGAAACCCTATATTGTTAGAATCACTGGTGGCAAGCAGTGATCTCATCTGCTATTTATAAGTGACAGCTAAGGGATCCCAAGCTCCAAATGCAGTCCCACGCGTACTTAAGCATATGCACAGTAATTTGATAGAACTCCAAATCCCACTTCTACTGATTTCTCTGTGTTCTCAAATGACCTTTTTTGTCGGTCATGTTTCAAAAACAAATCCAACAGCGTGTAATTTTTCCTATGTTAAAGTGAAAATAAAAGATGGTAAATCTCAATGGGTCAACCCCCAGATTACCCTGACTACAGCAAGATACACTCCGTTATAAAACTGTGAAAACTGATCTCAAAAATTCCAACGATACTTCAAGGCCGAAAGCCTGTTGGTTTTCCAGTCTTAACAACACCATTAAAACAAGGTGAGGATATCACAAAAGTAAATGAACAAGAAACACAAGAACTGAGAGAAAGTTAGAGAACTTTCAGTTACGGAATAACCTCTGGCGACATTTATCACAGCCTTTCCCTCTCTGTAGCTTCTTCTGCCCCACTTCCCCCGGCCCCCTCTCTTGACCTTGAACCCTCACCTCTTCCTCTCTGAGGGATTGCACAGGACACAGACCCTGACAACTGGCCCTCGCCCTAATTGCCCGCAACCAGTAAGCACCTAGGAGTCGAGCCAGAGTTCAGAGACTGCAAAATCCCACACCAGGAAAGTAAAGGCAAGGATGAAAACTGCTTTGGCCACAGAGAGGGGGAAAAATGCCACATGTGATACGACCCACTGCAGGGGAAAGTATCGTTTTTTGCAATTCCTCTCAGAGATTCCCGCTCCCCATGAGCTGCAGTCAGAAGGCGGGGAAGTGGGAAAAGCAAAGGAGCTGAGGTCGTGGCGCCCCCGTTCTGGGTCCCCGGGCACCTTGGAGGGACCGAGGCAGGCCCGACCTTTCCCGGGGGGGTCGCTCCACCTCACACCTGGGTTCTTGAAATCCTCCTCACGCACCTGGAGCTGGCACGGGCCCGCGAGCCGCGCATCTCAAGCCCCAGGAGCCGCGAAGGCAGCGCGCACACGTCCTCAGGGCCGGCGCGGAGACGGGCTGAGTGCGCAGGCGCGGAGCTCGGAAGCGCCGCCGGACGCGGTCCGACTGGAAACAGGCTCCCTCCAACCCAGGGCCGCAGTCGCGTCGGCTAGCCTGCGAGTCTCAGAGGAAAAAGGGGCTCCAGAAGTGCGTGCCCCGGGCCGCTCACCCGGCGCTGCAGTTGTGGGGAGAAGAGAATAGAGGAGTGAAGAAGGGTGCATTTTCCATCTCACCTCAGTCCTCGGCTAGGAAAACCACGTAGCCCTGACCAGTGGGCTCAAGGCCCTGCTGGAAACTGGTGAGCCCGCGTTCAAAGACCACTCTTCTAGTCCTCTCTAATGTCAGAGGGCCCATGGTAAACAAAACGCCATGTATCAGGGCCTTTCTGTGCCAGCCCTGTCCTGGGCACTCTGGACGTTGTCAGAATATAGCGCAGGGGTCAGGGACATGGGCTTTGCGGTCAGGCATACCTGGGCTCCACTCACAGCTCTACCAATATCCTGATAGCCCCGGACCTTCTTAGCTTCATTCCTTCAGTATATTTTAGTTGTCTACAATGTACAAAGCCCTGTGCTCAGCTTCTGAGTTTCTTCAGATTTCTCTGACAGATGAAATGGATGTAAAGTGCTCAACATAGTGCCCGGTGCATAATAAACTCCCATATAGCTATCATTTATTAATGACTATTTTCAAATTAAATATAACAACTTTATGAAGTGATAGGATACCATTTTAAAATGAGGGAAAGGAGACAGACGTTAAGGAACTTAACTTTGCACAGCTGATAAATGATGGAGGTGGGATCTGAACACAGGTGGTCCTGTGCTTTTAATTCACTACTGCTTCTCAGATTGTGGATATCTCAACATTTTATGTAGACACAATTAAGGGTTAAATGTTTAGTGCAGTTACGAACTAGGGTGGCACATTATTACTGAATAAGATGCTTGGGTATGTACTGAAGATTTTAAGTATAGAAGACATTAGAGAAGAATTTATTGTGGTTTTTGCAGGTTCTGAGTGTATATGTCTCAGCTTGAGATGAGAAAATGAGAACAAGTAACAAGCATATTTTTTCAACTGTAAGTATCTTTTTACATTACTTTTCAAGGACCATTGACAACAAAAATTGTTATTTCTGATGTTGGTATATGCGCCTCTATTTAAAAAGGGAGAAGTTGGGCCAATGCAAAGTCTATTTTCCATGTGATAACATGAGGAAATGGCTAATAGAAAATAAGCTTTTGCTTCTCATGAAACAACCTTGGAAGAGTCACATTTGGGAAAGGTTGAAACCCTTTCTTTCAACAGAAACTGAGACGGAGAGAGGAGGGGAAAAGCTTTATGTATCCTGAGTGCTAATCCCAGGGTGGGGATGCGGATTATTCAGAGTTGCTTCATTCTGCAGCTTCTCTTGGAAGCTCAGCTCAGTCAAACCAAGGAAACAGTTGCATCCATCACCAGCCACATAAGTCCTTAGGAGAGATAAGCAGATCATGAGAGACTGTTACCTGAGGTTGGGGACCAATGGAGGGTGCATTACCTGCAAAACAGGTAGGCCTTTGCACCAAGAGCCTGAATATGGAGTGAGGAACACAAGTGGATAAGCTGTTATAAGATAGGCCACAAACCCTATCTTATAACCTCCCCCATTTACCCTGAGAGCTATCTCAGGAACTTTCTGGTAAAAAAAAAGGAGAAGTTACTGTGAATAAGAGTCATCTGGAAGATTTCATTGAATAGGTGGGATTTGACTTGAACAGGGACTTAGTAATAGGTACAATATGAATAATAGAAAATGTGGGACAGGATAGAACATTGTAGGGAGATATGGTAGTAGTGACAAGGAAAACTAAAGGAATGGCTTGGTATACATTTGGGTTAGTATCTTACCTCTGCAACTTACTAGTGTGTGCCCTTAAAAGTTATTTAACCTTTTTAAACCTTATTTTCCTCATCTTTAAAATAAGGATATAATCAATCATTCGTTTATTCAATGGCATATCATGTACCAAGCACAAAGGAGTCACTTCTAAGTACATACAAATGAAAGTGAGGCCCTTGATTTCAATGAATTTTTCAGCTCAACATTCAAAGAAGTACAATATGATAAGAGAAGTTACGTACAGGGAAGGAGAGAGAAGCAGGGATATCTAAATCTTCCTGGAGGCTTCAGGTAGAACTGGTTTTTGGGTTGAGGTTTTAATGATCCACGCACCCATCCATCCTACATATATTTTATGAAGCACTTGCTGTGTGCCAAGCCCGGTTCTAGGTAATGGAGATAGTAGTGGACAAATTAAAAAGTCAAAAATCCCTGTCTACCTAGAGACTATATTTATAGTTGATGTTTTATATATGCCTACTGAGGGTTACAGACAATAAGTTACATAAGTAAAATACATAATATGTTAGATATTGAAAGAACTGAGGAGAGAAAATAAGTATAGAAGAGGGCTATGAAAATTTGGGGGGAGAGGGCTTGCTGGCATTCTAGTAGATGGCCAGGGGTGACTTTTCTGAGAAGTTCTGTGATTTTTGAGTTGAGCCCTGATAGAAAGAGGGAACCATGCTCATGCTCCATGTTTAGAGAACCCACTGCTCACCAGGCACTTTGCAAGAAGCTGGGAAAGGCCTTAAATGCTTTGCAAAGGTTTTTATCTTCTTTTTTTGTTGTTGTTATAAATTTATTTATTTTATTTATTTATTTTTGGCTGTGTTGGGTCTTCGCTGCTGTGCGCGGGCTTTCTCTAGTTGTGGCGAGTGGGGGCTACTCTTCGTTGTAGTGTGTGGGCTTCTCGTTGTGGTGGCTTCTCATTGCGGAGCACGGGCTCTAGGCGCACGGGCTTCAGTAGTTGTGGCATGCGGGCTCAGTACTTGTGGCTCACGGACTCTAGAGCAGAGACTCAGTAGTTGTGGCGTGCGGGCTTAGTTGCTCCGCGGCATGTGGGATCTTCCTGGACCAGGGATCAAACCTGTGTCCCCTGCATTGGCAGGCGGATTCTCAACCACTGCGCCACCAGGGAAGCCCCTCTTCTTCTTCTTTTTTAATCCAGTAGGCAATGGGAAATTATCGAAGAATCTTGATCATAGGTAGGGCATGCTTAGATTTGTGTCTTAGAAAACTCACTCAGAAGTTATATGGATAATGAAATGGAGGAGGCAAAATTAGAATAGCCATGCTGTCATCTGGAGGCTTCCTCCTCCTTGAATATCTGGTTAACTTAGGTGAAAATCTAATTCTGTGGCATGTGACAGTCTTCATGATACCTGTGAGTTCTCACAGCTTGCTCCTAGTGTGTGTCTGTCCTCTGTAGTCCTTAACCTTTAGGGCTATCTCCTTTTTAGCAAACCATTGAATATAGAACTTATTCATCAAGTTCTAGAAAAACACTCACTCATAGTTGTCTGTGTGTGTGTGTGTGTGTGTGTGTGTGTGTCTAAATACTTTACTGAAGATTTAGGAGTCACTATGGGATGGGGCTTCAACTGAAAGTATGTGGGGCCTTGGGAGCAAGTCAACCAGTACCAAGCGCATTCAACATAATTGCATTTGAAAGGAGTTCACACTTTCAGCATCTGTCATGCCTTTTGGAATATTTTAAAGACAGAAATTTTGAAACTGAGTTTTTTTTTCTAATTTAAGTAGAGTTGATTTACAATATTATATTAGTTTCAGGTATATAGCGCGGTGATTTAGTATTTTTACAGATTATACTCCATTAAGAGTTATTACAAGATAATGGCTAGAATTCCCTGTGCTATACATATATTCTTGTTGCTTATCTATTTTATACATAGTAGTTTGTGTCTCTTAATCCTATACCCCTAGTTTGCCCCTCCCTTCTTCCTCTCCCCTTTTGTAACCACTAGTTGGTTTTCTATATCTGTAAGTCTATTTCTGTTTTGCATATACGGTCATTTGTATTATTTCCTAGATTCCACATATAAGTGACTTCATACAGTATTTGTCTTTCTCTGTCTGACTTATTTCAGTAAGCATAATATTCTGTAGGTCCATTCATGTTGCTGCAAATGGTGGAATTTCATTCTTTTTTTAATGGCTGATTAGTATTCCATTGTGTGTACGTGTGTGTGTATATATGTGTGTGTGTGTATATATATTTTATATATATATATGCCACATCTTCTTTATTCATTTATCTTTTCATGGCACTTGGGTTGCTTCCATGTCTTGGCTATTGTAAATAGTGCTGCTATGATCATTGGGGTGTATGTATCTTTTCGAAGTATGGTTTTCTCTGGGTATATGCCCAGGAGTGGGATTGCTGGATCATATGGTAGTTCTATTTTTAGTTTTTTAAGGAACCTCCATACTGTTCTCCATAGTGGCTATACCAATTTACATTCCCACCAACAGTGTAAGAGGGTTCCCTTTTCTCCACACCTTGTCCAGCATTTACTGTTTGTACACTTTTTGGTGATGGCTGCTTGTTTTTATCCAATGACAGACAGAATCTCAATCTTAATTTCAATCCCTCCCTCTCTCTCTGTTCTCTTGTGGTTACTCTCTTGCCTCCTTTTAATTAACTATTAGAAAACCTTGAATTTGAACCTTGTTTTTCCTGTAGGTAGAATGTGTTATCCAGGGTTTTCAGAACCTTAACTGGATAGCATGGTGAATATTTGTTTGGAGACATTTTTGCAACCCAATTGTCCTCCTGTCATAAATTTGATTCTTGTGCCTGTCTCCTTGACTTTGATGTGTATGCCATGACCAAGCTTGTATCTCAGTCGCTATCTTGGACTTTTAAGGGTAAGTCTAGTCAATTCTCAGAGCTTTTCTTTTTTTTTGAATTTGCCTTGCAGTTAGTTCAGGTGTTGGTTTTATTTGCCTTTATAGTTCTTCTCAGAAATTTTAAATCATTAAGCTCTACAAAATTTATGCGGTCAAGGACATGATCTGTCTTGGTCACCTCTGCATCCTCAGAGTCCAAAGCAGTACCAGGCATGTAACAGATGCACAGCAGGTATTTGTTAATGAATGAATGCATGACTGAATATTTACACAAAACTTTGGTGGATTTTCTTAATTTTGTATTGGACTTTAAAAATTATTTCACTTTAAATTTGTGTTCTCTAAGAAAAAGCCAGAAATTGCATTTTTAAAGAAGATATTTGAATATACACAATTCTTCTTCTTTTGCTTTTATATAAAAAAATAAAAATACCAAGTACCTTCTTTATTTCTTTTAAAAACTGAAATTCTGTATCCCCCAAGAATCTCTCTCTAAGCTTTTTTTCTATTTTAAAGATAGTAGGGTGTATATGTCAATCCCAATTTCCCAATTTATTCCCCCCTTTCCCCCCCAGTAACCATAGGTTTGTTTTCTACATCTGTAACTCTATTTCTTTTCTGTAAATAAATTCATTTGTACCATTTTTTAAGATTCCACATATAAATATCTTTCTCTGTTTGACTTACTTCACTCAGTATGACAATCTCTCGGTCCATCCATGTTGCCGCAAAGGGCATTATTTCATTCTTTTTTATGGTTGAGTAATATTCCATTGTATATATATATACCACATCTTCTTTATCTACTCCTCTGTTGATGGACATTTAGGTTGTTTTCATGTCTTGGCTATTGTAAATAGTGCTGCAGTGAACATTGGGGTGCATGTATCTTTTTGAATTATGGTTTTCTCCAGATATATACCCAGGAGTGGAATTGCTGAATCATATGCTAATTCTCTTTTTTTAGTCTTTTGAGGAGCCTCCATATTGTTTTCCATAATGGTTGCACCAATTTACATTCCCACCAACAGTGTAGGAGGGTTCCCTTTTCTCTACATCCTCTCCAACATTTATTATTTGTAGACTTTTTGATGATAGCCATTCTGACAGGTGTGAAGTGATATCTCATTGTTGCTTTGATTTGCATTTTTCTAATAATCAGGGATGTTGAGCATCTTTACATGTCATTATTAGCCATCTGTATGTCTTCTTCAGAAAAATGTCTATTCAGATCTTCTGCCCATTTGTTGATTGGGTTGTTTGTTTTTTTGATATTGAGTAGTATGAGCTGTTTATATATTTAGGATATTAACCCCTTGTCAG